TAAGAAAGAATGATATTTGGCTTCCCTAATACCAAATCTGTTTTAATCAGGGTTCTTCTGAAAGACAGCACCAGTAGGATATATAGATAGATATATGAGAAGGAATTTATTAGGGGGATTGACTCACTCACATGATTGTGGTGGCTGAGAAGTCCCATAATAGGCAGTTTACAAGCTAGAGACCCTGGCATGCTGGTACTGTGGCTCAGTTCAGGTTTGAAGTCCCCAGAACCCGGCACGCTGATAGTATCACTCAGTTTGAGGCGGAAAGCCTCAGGGCCCAGGGGGCTGCTGAGATAAGTCCTGGAGCTTACAGGCTGCCTATCCTGGAGTTCTGATGTCCAAGGTAGCAGAATAAAAGTCTGTCTCAGCTCTAAATGAGAGATTAGTTCACCTTTTGTATTTCTTCTTTTTGGGTTCCCTAATTGATTAGATTGTGCCTGCCAAGGCTGAGGGCAGATCCTCCCCACTTGGTCTAATCAGACTTACACACCAATCTCCCCTGGCAACAACTTCACAGACATTCCTAAAATAATGCTTTACTAGGTTTCCAGAAATTTTAATCCAATCAAATTGAACCCTACATTCAGTTCATAAGTCTACTCCTTGTCAACTTGGCACCTGTATACCTCTTCTTAAACCATACTTAATTTTCATATAACGGTACTAACAAGGCAGTAGTTCTGCCTAAGATGATGCAATTAACCATGTGTACAAATAAAAACATACCAATCCTTCCCCAGGATTTGACTTTCGGAATTTCAACATTTGGGTTTTTAATCTTCTGGAATTGTGTGTTTTTGGGGATTTTAGATGTTAGGAATTTTTAACTTGAGGAATTTTGATCTTTTGGAATTTCAACATTTTGGATTATAGCATTTGGCATTGTGTCTCTCAGTATTGTGATCAGTACTAGTCCTTGATTTCCATCCAAACAGTTGCCTGTATCAATTGTTTGTTCTTTTTTAAAAATTATTGAGTGGTATTTCATTGTATGAATGTACTATAATATGTTGATACACTCAGCTGTTGAAAGATGCTTAAAAATTTGTATCTGATACACTGTGTACTACGAATTTTCAGTGTCTTAAATTCTCACCTAGTCATTTGTAAGGAAAAGACTAAGGCAAGGCTCAAACACAATGGAAAAAAATTCCTAGTTGCTAGCTTAGTATTGAAGGGAAAATGGAGCTCTATACATCAGCTACACTCAGTCTCCTGGCATTTTATTCTCATTTAAATTATTATCGGGGTTGGTGTTATTTGAGAATCTATAGTTTGCTGTAGAACTTGACAAGTATTTCCATTGCTACATCAGTCTATGTGAAGATATGTACTTGTCCCTTGGCATATTTTACCTTTTGTCAGAATTAGGATCCTTTCTGAGATAGGATAAAAACACCTTCTTTCACCATAGTGGCTCTATCCTCACAGATGACTCATAGCTACATTGTGAAAAGTCTATACTTATACCCAGTTTGAAGCAGTCATACCTATGCGTGTGTATGCAGGAATTGGTGTACATGACATACAGTTGGATATTACTTGTCTTTTTAGTGTAGATGCTATGTTGATCAGGGTCGTAACAAGAAATAGGAGCATATTCAGATGAAGTAATCAGATTGTGTTATCACGGTTAAGGAGAATTCACAAGAGATGGTGTGCTGGGTATGATGGCTCACACCTGGGAGCTCAACACTTTGGGAGACTGCAGTGAGGCCAGGAGTTCGAGACCAGCCTGGCAACGTAGCAAGACCCCATATCTTAAAAACAAACAAATAAAAGAACCCCCATAAAACTAGCCTGATATGGTGGTACACACTTGTAATCCCAACTACTCAGGAGGTTGAGGTGGGAAGATCACTTGAGCCCGGTAGCTGGGTGCTGCAGTGAGCTATGATGGCTCCTACTGCACTCTAGTCTGGGTAACAGCACAAGATTCTGTCTCCAAAAAATGCAAAAACTAAAACGAGATGATGAATCAACTTGGAGTGGTTAAAGTTCCTTGGCCTTCAGAGATAAAGGGAGGGAGAATAAAAGAGAGCATCTTTATTTTAAGTAGGGTTGCCTATGAAGAGCCAGGACCTTCAGAAGAGGGATGCAGTCAACTTGTAACAATCTTGTGGGAAGGTGTCTGGCAGATACATTTCCTGAGCTTGTTTTTTCACTCTCTGATCTTGTACTAATGTGTGTCATTGGTTGAAACCAACCAGAAACCCAAGGACATGGGAGCCTGTTGATATATTTCTTAAGGGTTATTCTTCTAGCCCACAGGACAGGATTGAGAAGAGTAGAGGGTAGATCTGGAGGGATAAATGGAAGACATCCCTCACAGATGTTCTCTGAGCTTTGAATGGAGAAGCTTGGTTGCAACTAGGAGAGTTCTATATAGGAAGATAGAACTGGGCACATAAATGATGCTCCAGAGAGCAACTTGGTGCCTTTAATCTAATCATAGTCATTAAAAAAAAAAAAAACCAACTTAGCTCTATTCAGAGTGAAATTCCAATGTAGTTAGTTTGACCTTGCTTTTTGTTTCTATAAGAGGCACATGCAGTTATTTTCTTTATTTTCTACTCCATACAGTTTGTGTAACTGTAATTGTTTTGTTTTGTTTTTTGAGTTGGAGTCTCACTCCATCGTCCAGGCTGGAGTGCAGTGGCACGCTCACAGCCACCCCAGCGTCAACCTGCTGGGCTTCAGTGGTCTTTGTGCCTCAGCCTTCCAAGTAGCTGGAACTATAGGCGTGCACTACCACTCCCAGCTAATTTTTTATTTTTATTGTAGAGACATCTCACCAAGTCCGGGCTGGTCTCGAACCCACGAACTCAGGCAATCCACTTGCCTCAGCCTATCAGAGTGCTGGGATTTACAGGCTGAGCCACCAAGCCCGGCCAATCACTTTGTATTTCAAGGAAATCATTCCAGGCAAACATCATTATATGTATGTATCGTTAATTTTTTAGACATACTTCTGTTCACAAACTTTGTGTTGTTTCCAATTTGTGACTGTATGCTGCAATGAATTTCCTGGGCATATCTTTGTGTGCATATA